GTTTCTATAATATATACTACTAAATATTATCAAATTATACAAATTGCAAGTTATTCTTTGCCTTGTATTTTGTTTTAATGTAACTTGTTTTATTTTTTTTATAAAAATTTTTCTAAAATATTCACTTATAATTTTTTATACTTTTTTATTAATACTATTTATATTATACCTATAGCTAGTGTTTTTGTTTCTTGCTATAGTCTTTTATATTTGAAATACTTTACTAAATAATCTTGTGTTTTTTGATTTTCTTGATTGTATATAATACAATTTAGACTTTTAAACAGTTTAAAGATTCTTTTGTTTAGAAGCTTGAGTTACTAGTAGCTTTTTTATAACCATTTTATTAGCATTATTAGTCTTTTACTTTTTTTGTTAAGATGTATCTGATTAATTCTTTTTTGAAGTATTTGAATTCTCAATCAATAGTGATTAATTAACTAATATTAAAATTCAAATAAATTATGCTAAATTAAAATAATACTAAAATTTAAACAGAAATTTTTAAAATTTTTTAATTTTTTGATTTTTTTTTTTAGAGTTCGGTTAAAATTTAAATTAGAATTTATAATAAAAAAGTATACATGTGTGAATTTTAGTAGGATTTATATTTTCAAATTTCAATATCATTCCTGACTACAATCAAAGTTATTCTTTAAAATTAAACCATTTTTACTCTCTTGACATTTTGTTATGTATAGCCAGGATAGTAATAAATAGTAAAAAATTTAATTTATTCCCGTTTCTTATTTATACTTTCATACTATCTTTTCACGTTTATTGCCCAGATTTCAGATCTGGAGTTTTTATATTTCTTTTTAATTATATATCTTTTTTTTACTTTTTTTAATAATATATGAAATTTTAAACTATTAACGTTAACGTTAAGTTACTAACGAAAAGTAAAAGTTGTTGGTTAAAAAAAAAAGAAGAAAAAAGTGGAAGAAAACGAAAGAAGTTTTATGATTGTAGAAAGCTAAACTTTATGAAATGTGCAGCTTTAATTTGAAAAGATAGTATGAAAGTATAAAAAGAACCTGTGAATAAATCAGTTATTGCCCACTTCGTGGACAATAATATAAACTTATTTAGCAAAATAATTAAACCATTCATTCTTAAGGACCTTGTTTTTAAATCCGGATTTAAACTTAAATCTGGATTTATATTATTAGTAAATCCAGATTTAAACTTAAATCTGGGTTTATATTATTAATAAATCAGGATTAGGGATGGTAAAAAAACATTTTTCACCATTTTAAAACATGTGATGCTGTGGTCAGAATATATTAAATTTTAAAACTCAGCATATCAAGATTATAAACATCACATATTTTAAAATAGTGAAAAATGTTTTTTTACTATCCCTAATCAGGATTTAATCTTACAGCTGTTTTCAAAAAGGTGTGAACAGGTGATTTTTGTGACATGTACCCATATGGAATCGAGAAATCAGAAATTTAATAATTAAACTTTTTTGTCATACAGGTATCACAGTGCGAGGTGCTTAATCAGCACATATTTTTAGTTAAATAATTATTGATGTCCGTTGTGATTTTCATATTTTTAGCCATGTTACAATTAAGCACTAATATGTATGGAATGCCCATTTTTAATCATTATCATTATCGCTATATAAACAAATTATTGCAATGTATATTATTTTGTTTTTATAATCGTACTAATTAATGGCGGATGCATTAGATACAAAACTTATATACAAACGAGGGACTTGCTTTAGTTGTCGAAAGTGTTTATATTGTGGAGTTGATTTGCAAACACAAAAATGCAAATGTGATATTACAAAACTACCTCATAGAGTCAATCGAACTGAAGCTGTTAAATATGTATATACACGAATTTTTACACCAAATTGGACAGCTGATCAAGTTTCTTTTGTTCAAGATAAGATATCACAATATAATTATTCAATAACCTAAAAGATTCTTTTAGCCTTTCGCTTTGTTTACGATACAATAATGGATTATTAAGATTGAATTCAGCTAAAAAAAAATTATTTGTCAAGTCTAAATTTATATCTAATTCAACAAAAAATGATATCAAAACTTCTTCTGAATTACGGTGTCTAAAAAAATTAAATTAGAGCCGGATTTATATGATCTTACTTTGGATGATGAAAGTTTTCAAAATCTATTAAATTTTTTTGAATCTAAAGATGATAGCGAAGAGGATATACATGATACAAAAGAAGTAGATGATTCAGAAAAAGATTTCGAATATGAAATTCATTATGGGATCTTCATAAAATTAGATGGAAAATTTTTATCAACTAAATGGTATAAAGTAACAATATCCGAAGTAGATGAATTTCTTGCAGAAATTTATAGTAATATAATTGCATTAACGAAAAATGAATCAATCGAAGCATGTGATTATAATGTAACTTTTAAAGGAGAAAAGGCTGCAGGAGCTAAAACTCAAATAGCTGAAAGTGTTTTAAAGATTCGTACTGCAAATCATTGCAATATACATAATTGGGCATGTTTAAATGTGGATAAAAATAAAGAATATCATATTGAAATTACCTTTATGATGTTATCTACTTGGGCATCTGAAATAGTAAATATATTTTTAATTATACTTGAACTATTCAAATAAATATTATATAGTATAATTTTATTTATTTGATTATAGAACAAAAGGTTAGCTATATCTACAGAACCACCAACTCACCCATTATTCGCATATTAACATTTGTCTAAAAAGAAATCAAGTTCACAACCTTCTAATTTAGATCTATTATCATCTCAACCTTCAAATTCTTATTCATTTCCGAATTCATATATCCCACCCCATTTTATAATCCATTACAAATGGTTCCAACTTTTAATTCGTCTTATTCGAATTTAGAACTAACATCATATAGTACAAGATTATCTATATCTACCATCGGTGAATTCTTAAAATCTGTTGATGAAAATGAAAATACCGATGATTACTATCAAAGTTTTCAAGCAAAATTAGAACAACAATGAATTTCAGTACGAATACTTTTAAAGCTGTCAAATGAAGAATTTAAGGAATGCGGAATAGATACTATTGGAGCACGACAAACACTTTGTTACTATGCAGCAAAATATAATATTTAATTATCATTATATAATTACATATATAAATATAGCATAATTTAATTTCTTATTTGTAGCCTGCTCCATTAAAAAAACTATTAGCAAGCAAGGGTGTAATTTGTGAGCAAGCTATTAATAAAGGGTAAATAGGATCAGAGCAGCTTTCTACAAAATAATGATAATGTTTCAAATAATTTTTAATAAATGAAAAAGCCATTTCTATCAGATTCAAATCTGAAGAGTATGGCGGCAGAAATTCTACACGCACACCAAATGTGTTTAAATATTCAAGCAGTCATCGTGATGATGGATACTTGCATTATCAAGAACTAAAACACTTCTTTCATGTAGGTATGGATTTAATTGTAGAAGCTTTATAAATAAAATAAAATTATGTTAATATAATTTATATAATTTAATAAAAATTATTAGATATTTATATACCCCTTGCGAAATAACAAATTTTTTAAATTTTCTTTAGTACAACTCCCCTCTATAATATCTACAGCAATGATACCATCCAATATAAAAGCTGGTAAAATTGTGTAATGTTTACCACGAACAAAAGCTACTCTTTTTATAGCTCTTGTATTTATTTCAGAATAGCCATAACTACGAGTAATTGTTCTCTCATCTTTAGCGGACTCATCTAAAAAAACTAGCTGCTCACGTTGATATTGAGCTCCAATATATACCATGAAAGCACTGCGAAGCAATTCATTACGTTCACTTGCAATTTTGCTTAACTACTATAATATTTAATAAATATATATATAATATATATATGAATTATATAAATATAAAAAATTAATAACAAAAACCTTTTTATGTGTTATTCCACAATATGCTAGTGATCTCTATAAAGTAGAAATAGAAACATGTTTACCACTTTGAATTTCCATTTTTCAAACTATTTCATCAAGATAACAGTCAGTATTTTCTTGAACAATGCTTCCTAAAAATCGGTATAAAATTTATAAAATTTAAAAAAAAATACAGTACAATATATTTATATAGGATGAAAATAAATATTACATTCATATCATAAGTAAAGTCCCAACTCTTTCCTGTAGATCCTAATTCCATAAGTAAACAATAAAAACAAAACACGGTAAAAGAGTAAAAGACCTCACAGTAACTATATAA